ATCAATTAATCATTTTTACGCCAAAATATTAAAATTCTGAAAAGCTTTATGTAAATTATGTTAATATTTTTTTTATTTTAATCGTAAAACCGAACTTTTTTTACAAGAAATGTATGCACTTTTAAAGAAGAATTATGTCTTAATCTAGCACTTTGAGTTGCGTTTGCTCGGTAATACTGCTCAATGCAACCCATTTTTATCTTCCCAGTATTTTCTGAAATGCGTGATAATTTAATTAGTAGGTGTATGCTCAACTCCAATAATCCATCCCAGGAATAATAATAAAACTTTGCCCCTTATGCAGAAAAAGGTTGGTCGAAGTGTCCCACATATTAGAGGCGTGTCATGCCTTGGCTCCATACAGAGAGCGTGTAGGCATCGGATTTAAGAAGGGTTCTCGGACACGGTAGCGAGTCAGTGTCCCCAGTTTCGCTTTTTAGGGAATTGGGAATTTTTTTATTGTATATAGCCTTCAAAATAAGTGTTTTGTGTGAGTGAGTGTATTTACTAGCGTGAATGGGGAGGGGCAGACAGTCGAATCGCCTCTCGAGCTGTGTACGTGACTTGGGCATCCCAATTAGAATGGATGTATGTAGGTGTGAATGTATTTATTAGTGTGAATGCGTATTGGATATGTGTTGTAATATTTCGCATGCGCTCAGGACTGAAATGGTCAAAAAAACTTATACATAGAAATTATTACGTGATGGGATATTTTATGAAATTCACAGCCACTTTTTCTTTTCGCTTTTTATTACCTATACCTTTTGCCGGTCGAATACAGGAACTAGCCCTTTTCAAAACTTGTTCATGTCTGACCCGCCTATAATATGTATGCAAATATCTTACGCATATATTTATCTACTATACAATATAATTTTTGCTCGGTGAACTTGTATACACTTGCAAAATAAAAGGGGAAAAATACTATTTTAAATTTTTAACGTATGCACATCTCGTTCATTTAATTGGCCAAAACCTTTGGTTCGACTATAAGTTTTTGTAAAATGAACTGTTTGCCTAATTTCTCGTTGATAAACTGATAAATAAGTTAATCAATATTTATCTTATTTAGATTTTTTTAGCACGTTCTAAATGCTATAATATATAAAATTTAAAAAATTGATAAATATAACATTCTTTGATGCGTTTCATGCAATATTTGCGAGTCAAAGGCTTTACCCCCCCCCCAAAGCTAAAGTGGAAATACGCCTGAAAGTAGTACAAATGGGTAGAAAAAACAACTTTTATGAAGACCTCGCTGCCTTTCGCTCTTTAATAAATAACCAAGGTACTCAATGATGTAAATAAGTGAATGTGAATATGAAATACGTAAAATAAAAGTAAATAAGTAACCCTATAAGAAAAATTGAGATTTTTGGGCAGTAAAAACCTCCAAAACTTGGAATAAAAACCTAGAAACGTGCAATAAAAGGCTCGAAGTGCAAACATGTGAAATAAAGGTAAAATATCCCATTTAACATAGAAAAAATTGTATTTACGTAATAATAAGTGGGAAGTTTATGGGCCAACAAACAGCTGAGGTCATCGCCGGCCCTCTACATGTTTTCCATCTTTTTCTTTTCTTTCGCGCATATTTTGTTTTAAACTGCAGCCATTTGAGCATCTCGATCTGGTTTTTACGTAATAAAATTCATTCTTGCTTAAACATTGTTTATGATGTGTCTCTTTATTTTATAATCAATCGATCATATTAACACTAAAGTGGCAATATGAATTCAAAAATATGCAATTAGATGACGACAGAAAAGTCGTTAGAAGTTTAGGAAGTATTTGTAATATTAAATGACCGTTATGTAATGATTGTTTAGAGATCTTGAGATGCGGACTGTTATGATTTATGTTTAGAAAAACATTTATTTATGTATTTGTATAATTTAAACAATGCTTATAAATCCCAGGCATTGAAGATTATCTCAATAAAGATCGAAAAGTTGGCACGATAAAGAAAAAGTTGTTCTAAACCTACATCACACCATATCGCATCTCACGATCTCTAAATAATTTATGAAGTATGTATAAAAGGACCAGAACAACATAAACAACATAAATTATCAACTCTCAACTCTCTCTCACCTCAATAAACTTTTTGCAACAATTAGCATTAAAAAGTTTTTGTTTCAATAATAATAAAGTACAATACATTTTTCCCTTGTAATTCACCTCTTCTTATAATTTTTTATACCACCTTAAACCTTTCAATTTTGACCATAAGGTCCTATGAACGTAACACGCATTATTATTTTTATTATTACGTGGTTCTATTATGCTACCAAAGCGAATAAAGACTGAATAGGAGAAAATGAGAAGTGAAAACACTCATAGGCCCACCGAATTAGGTTAGGTAATTTAATATCTATAAAGAAATGTGAGGGACGGGCTCGGGGGCATCCGTTCAACACTTCCAGTGTGTTGTTCTTATAAGCGTGTGGTTATGTATGAGTGGACATGTCTGCCGAGGAATATCCGCAGACTTGACAAAAACTTAGGTTAGTTAGGTTAATGAATAAGTGGAAAAAGAAACGCCGGGCAAGGTTATTCGGTAGAACGTATTTATTAGCGTGAATGGAGAGTGATTCTCAATGCCCGACTCCCATAGGGGTGGGTCACCTGCAACTCACCCATTCACTTGCCAAACATCTAAAACCTTATAGTACCATGAGTGTGTATGTATGTGATATGTGTTGTAGGAATATTGCTTGTGGAAGAAACGTTAATAAAAACATGATTATAACAAAATACTAACAAACATATGGATCGTCTATCAACCAAAAGAAATGACAGGAAAGTGAGAAAAAACGCAGAAAATAATGCATTTTTTCCAGATTATAAAATCACATGAGAAGGACAAATAAGCGAGAAGCCGACTATGACCATAGTAGTTAGCCGGCAAAAAAAAATTAAATTAAACTTAAGACCGAGAAACCTGCATTTTCGAACGAAATAAAAGTACATTGTGTCCCAAGAACATCATTTCCACGATTCGAATTTTTATTTTGGTTTCATTGCAATAAAAGTTAGCAACGAAAAAAATGCTATTACTCGAGAATCCGGACATTACTAATGAGTATTTCATAACAGTGTTAGATGTATCGATCACTTTTTTTACTCCCGAATAATCTGGATCTCGGTATGGTCTAAATAAATAAAAACAAGTTCAATTGTTATCTGAGGAACTTTCGCACTGTTTTAAAATCATCATAATACCAAGATAATCATCACGATGGGAAAAAAATTAACAATTAAGTTTTTAATAGCTTGTTTTAAATTTCTTTCCAGATAGATTCAGTCCCTACATTTCCAAGGACTGAAACAGTATTCTAGTGTTACTAACTTACACTACCAAACTTAACTTCAATAAAAGTTTAAGTGTTAGACTTTTCGTTCAACTGAGAGTTTTTCTATTTTTTATATCTTAAAACATCCTTGTTTACACATAAATAAATATTCAAGCAAACCCATGTTCGCCGGAAATATTAATGTTAAAATGTTAAATAGTAATACACTGATAGGGAAAAAATTCGGCCCAATGGAATTATTTCATTTTCTTGAAAAGACAATTTTGCCCGTAATTTGTCTCATAGTTTTTACCAATAAATATTTGTTTATGCTATGTTTTAATTTGGGAATATCAATAAGATATAAACACACTTAATCCTTAATGCAATACCGGATAAAGGATTTTTCAACGTTTATTTTTTACGGAATTTAAAATGTTCAATCAGTCTCATTTGTATTCTGAAGGGTCCTACAATAGAAGGCCCGGTTCTGGACGCCCTAGGGTCACCAACAGGATGACCATTTTTTGGCTATGAGAGTTTTGCGAAACCGGCACCTTACTGTTGTTAACCGATTCATAAACTCCAACGAAGTTCGAGGTTTCCAAATTTCTGAACGCACTGCTCGAAGAAGAATAAATCGGTATGGACTGATCGCTTTTCGCCACGTAAGAGGACCAGAATTAATCAGTAGACACAGAGTTGCACGGCTCGCATTTTTTCATGAATACAGCCGTTGGTCTTTGAACGATTGGACTGCTGTACTTTTTACGGATGAGTGTAGATTTGCTCTACGATCTCCAGATGGACTTGAAAGAGTGTGGAGAAGCCGAAATGAAAGGTGCGAAGCCTGTAATTTTTCCAAGAGCCAACCTTTTGAACGTGACTCAGTGATGGTGTGGGCGGGAATTTCAATGGAAAGTCGCACGGAGTTGGTTGTTGTTCGTGGAGGGTTGGAAATTTTGGAACATCATGCGTTGCCTATCCTCGATGACATCAGCGACAATCCTATTCTAATGCACGATGATGCCCATCCACGTGTTGCTCGCATAGTACGCAAACGTACTTTCAACAGCATAACATTAGAGTCTTAATTAAAATCACCCCGTTTTCCAGACTTGAACCCATCAAGCTTTTATGGAATCACCTCAAAAGACGAATAAGAGCAGGTTCGTCACTTCTTCATATACTCCGCGATCTTGAAAGAGCTCTTCGTGAAGAATGGGCTAAATTCCAGCAAAGAGGCATTTCCAGACTGTATTCTGAGGCGTCTTGGAGATGTAATTAAGACAAGAGGAAGAAATGCGCGATATTGAAATGCTAATTAAAAATGTAAAACAATTTTTATTTGTCCGTCTTTTTTTTTCATTTTCTTTAGCAATTTATATTTTGTTACTATTTTAGACAAAGACTCAATTATTAAACGTTAAAAAACGTGAAACTTTGATTAATATGTAAAAAATATATACAAATAAGGTTATATTACAAGTGGGTGGAATTCTTTGCCTGTCAGTGTATAAACGGCTTATTTTATGAAGAAAGGTTTTTTACACGGTTTCCGTTTTAAGACGTTATTCAAACTAAAAAGTTTCGCATTAGGTGAATGTATTGTACACCAAATTATGATCGTAGCTCATAACTTATGTAAATCATCGCTTGTGGGCTCCGACTCTGTTTTAAAATTCTTTATTTTTGTTTCAGGTTCGGCGGTGGCGATGATCGGGGCGAACCTCAGGTTCGGGAGCGGCGTTGCAGGGAATTTGACCGGCAACGGAAGCCGAGTATTCCAATGTCACCCGGGCGGGGAAACGGAAGCCCTTGTCATCTTCACCCTCGGAGCGCTCGGCATAGCCGCCAACATCGCCCTGATGGGCCTCATTCTCGCCAACAAACATCTAAGAAGGTCCAACAAAATTAAAATTGTCCTTCCCATCATTGGCCTTAGTAAATAAAAACAATATCTGGCCGAAATGTTTAAAAAAAAGTATTTCTCACTATCAGTTCGTGCTATGCTGATTCGATCTTCACAAATTGTACAGACGATGAAGTATACTTCGAATGAATTTAAAATGTACTTTAATACTATTTTACATATAAAACTACGGACAAATTTCGTGTAGAATTTATTATTTTATGAAAAGCGTAAAACGCGAGAGAAATCGAGGGGATCTGCTCAAATCACCCATGCCACCCTTTAACGATATCTTAAACGCACTCTATGCAGATTCCATTACCTGATATTCCAACGAATCTAAAAAAAATTCACAAGGAAAAAGGAAATAAAGATTGAGATTACCATATAAGAGCCAGTAATTTTCAATTTCTGGCATGAAGAACTCAACATGTAAAATCTATGTAAGCAAGCCGTTTAGGGTTGAACGGCTTGATAAAACGTGTAGGGGGGGGGGGATCGAAAAGCATTTCTAAGCGGCAGGTCGAAGTGTGAAAGATGGGAAGACCGCGGTAACATTATAATACCATTACTAGGCGTTGAGTGGGTTGAACTTGTTATCTGCGAGCTGACAGAAGCCTTAACGGAGGGATTCACAAAGGCTACCCAGTATGTCACAACAAACCCACTTACCCTGTATACGGAACAGTAGAAATACAGATCCATTATAAACTCCGAACGAGCTCCGATATATAAGCTGATATATATCTTTTACTAAGCGACAAAGGGAGCCCGAACCTGGCCGCCCCAGACGATAAATAACAGCCGACGCGCTGGAAACCGGCGTTAACACAATAAATACAATGACAAATGGAAAAGATACCTAACGACTGAAAATAACAACGGATAAGAACATTCAACCCTAACAAACAAATACCTTAATTAATTTAAAACTACACAAAATATAAGTAACATGACACCAGCGAATTGTTATACGGTTAATCCTGCTAATTGGAAACTAAGATGAACGAGAGAGAGAGGCTTAATCCGATTCAAACAAAACTTTCTGTGTATTTTGCCATCGCTTAACATGTATGATTTACAGCTCAGCAACTTTCAAAATTAAATGTGATTGCACGCGATAAAGTAGACGTAATGGTAAGATACAAAGCTGTAAAACAAACATGGCGTAATGAACTTTTACAACTACAAACATAATTACATTACAAAATGTTACGATTAGTCTAACTTACGCCTAACAACAGATAGTCAACAATTATTTTACAATTTTACAAACAACAAACATCACAGTGGCATGAAATGATAACATAAATTAAAAAACCATTATTTCACTCATAACATAATATGTTAATGCAAAAATCCTGTAATATATGTTCAAAAAAACACCATTGAAATGAAGGGAGGAGAGGGAGAAAGAGCAAGAAGATAGCGAGAAAGGAAGGAGGAGGGAGAGAGAGAGAGAGAGAGAGGGAGAGAGAGGGAGAGAGAGGGAGAGAGAGGGAGAGAGANCAGAGAGAGACAGAGAGAGACAGAGAGAGAGAGAGGAATTAGATTGAACTTATTGAACTGAAACTTGAATTTATTTACTATCTCGCAAAATTAGGTCTCGTGGACCTTTCTTATCGTTAACTGAGCAGCATTTTAGAAGAAAGAGGGGAGACAAAGAGAAAGAAATATAGAAAGAGAGAGAGAGAGAGAGAGAGAGAGACAGAGACAGAGAGAGAGAACGAGGGGTGAGAAGGAAGTAGGGAGGGAGAGTGGAAGAGAAGAGAAATGAGAGAGTGAGAGAAAACAGGAGGAAAAGAAAGAGACGGAATGAGAAAGATAGATAGATAGAGATAGAGAGAGAGAGAGAGGGGGGGGGAGAAGGGAAAGAGAGAGAGGGGAGAAGGGAAAGAGAGAAAGGGGAGAGGGAGAGAGAAAGAGAGAGAGGGAGAGAGAGAGAAAGAGAGAAGGGAGAGAGAAAAGAGAGAAGGGAGAGAGAGAAAGAGAGAGGGGGCGAGATGGAAGTGGTGAGGGAGAATGGAAGAGAAGAGAAACGTGAGAGTGAGAGAAAACAGAAGGTAAAGAAAGAGACGGAATGAGAAACAGAGTGAGTAAGAGAGAAAGAGTGAACGAGAAAAAAGAGAGGGGGGGAGAGAGGGAGAGAGAGAGAGGTAGAGAGTGCGCGCGTGGCTCTGTACTATTTCGCTCTGACCCGAAAGAGAAATATGATTTATATACACTAAAACAGCACGCAAAAATAATCTATTTAAGGTTGATAACTAATCAGAAATTTGATCAACTGATGTTAATTAAGTAAGCAACAAGGTCGAATAATTATGTTTCAATTAATGAAACATGTCATGAATTATGACAAAAATCCGGTGTGACTCGTCGAAAATCGCAAAACTACATTGCCTTTTTTGTTTTCCCTTTTATAGACAATTAATTTTTATGACGGTGAGAATGCTAATGCAATCCTTGGAAACTAGATAATAATTATCTATGGACTTTAGAGATATACCATTTATAGAATAATATTTAAAGAATAATAAATAATGAAGAGGGGTCAGATTCAGTTATTTACATGTGAAAAGTGTTTTTAGTAGTACATCAACAACTATTCGATTTTTTTTTTCAGTGGTTTACAATGCAATTCAACGTTCTAAGGCAAATAATTTATTATAGAATGCTTAACACATAGATTTTGTATGTTAGTATTACGACGAGTGAACCAAGTCACCGGAGAGAAAGTCCTGGTTAAGTACGGAAGAAAGATTTATCCCATAAAAACGTTTTCTCCCAGGCTCATTCCAAGGTGAAGCCTTAATGGTGTGAGATGTCATACCTGGTATGAACTTTTTACAAACCACATTCGACTCGACAGGATAACAACTTTTGTGTTTGCTGAAATTTGTAAGCTGTTGAGGGAAAGTTGACAAATCGCTATTGATTTGGTGCGAGTAATGAAAGCTTTTATATATTTAATCATGTACTATCATTAAAAAAAAAATCCAATGTTTATTCTCTTGATTTTGCAAGGTCTTAATAATTCTTTAGTGTTAATAGACTAAAAGATAGCCTGGTTAATAAATTTATTTCATTGCAATAAAAAAAAATTAACGCAGGGAACGTATGTTATTTCAAGGAAAATTAACTCCATACAAAACGTTCAATACCTTTTCCCGTCAGCATGTTATTTCAATTTAATACGCGTTTCGTTCGTGATAATTTAATATTTTATCAATAATTTTTCAACTGCGCTGATAATAAATCCTCGTAGCAATGGGGGTTAATTAAAATAAAAATGCAATTATAAACGCTGCTATGTCGGACGAACAAATTTTCCCCCTTTTTAAATGACGTTAATTAAGTAATTAAATAATCCACGTGTGGGCTTAGGGTTAATATTAGCTTGACAATTATATCTTGATCAACCTTTCAAAAAAATTAAACAGAAATTTCAGGACACAATAAAGCTACTAAAACGGTATACTGTTTCGGTATACGCACACAATAAATATTTTCGGAGTGAAAAATTAAACCATGATAAATAATAATAGACATTTTTTCTAAATGCTTTTTCTGCGTATTAGTAGCTTGTTCTATGTAAAATATGAGAAACAGCATATTTGGACTAGAATCGTTTTTCCAGTAACCTTTTTGAGACTGAGACTTTCTCATCCTAGCAGATTTTACAATAAAGTAGAATATATTAGGTACAAATTGTATTAAATAAAAAAATTCATTGGTTTTAACCAATAAATATATACAATAATAATAAATATAAATTAACTCAATCTCACTAGCCGATGTGAGATTGAACGCGTTATCCGGGTGTTCACAAAGGGAGCATTCATTGATACGCCATTCGAAGTAAATATATGTATCTCACGTCACAATTATTCACCCACGTGTTAAATAAATTTTGCTATTGGGAGGAAAGATTTATGTTGTCCTTTTGTAGGTTGAAGTTATTATCATACAAATTTATTAACATTTTCTCGAGTCCATCTAGTCGTGGTGAATACATTTCTGTAACAAGAGTTTTTGTTGTTTGAATTGTTTTTATGATTTATGTTGTGCAATTCTTGTTTTTTATGTTGTTTTTCCAATCCATCCTTTTATACGGAAAAGTTAATATATGTATAAGAGACCGTTCCTACTTTTTGTCGTACAACTTATTTTAGGTTAATGAGGTTCTCATTTTATTTTTTGCACAGTGGTTTACTTATGCATTTTTACTATTTTTCTATATTTCAGTTAATCCATAAATGTACATGAGTCCAACATATCAATTTATTACGTTACTTGGTTTTTTAAATGTTCTTTTACATATTTAATGTGATTATCTAACTTTTTGTTCGAATTTTTGTAAAAGAATGGTTGTGTTACTTTATTTTCTAGATTTTGTCTTGTTTGAGATTTTCCTTTTTGTTGTACACATTAATTTTGAGTAATAAGATACAATACTTAATCAAGGCAAGGCAATAAGGCATTTTCGACAGCAAAGACAAGTATTCTGTAATTTTTTTTTTTTTTTTTTAATGATATCCGTTTTATTCGAAAGTTATATTTTAAGGAAAATTTTTCATTTCTTTTTAGTTTATTTCATAATAAATAATATCACTAAGAAGGGAAGGCTAGGGTCGCTAAAATACCGATTTCAATTAGACTTTTGGGTGACACTAGGTCGAAAAATAATAGATACTAATCCGAGCGTTCTTCCCTTGGAGCAAAGGAAATAAATATTTTAAAATATCTTCAGGCGTTGTATTTCGGCTCAATTCTTCCTTCTGAGAAGAAAAATACCTTTCAAGACAACTAATAACTTGTTCGTGCAAAAATCCTTAAAATGAGTCTTCGGCACAATTAAAAAAACTCAAACAGAATTTTCTTGACGAACTTCTTCTGGCGCATTACAAAAGGTCAATTATTTTTCACTTACTTTTTAAACTTCCAAAACCTCGAATGTTTACGAGTTTCAAAGGCGCTTTTTAATGTAGATC